ACTGTTAGTAGTACAGTTGCAAGTGTCAATTTCATGTTTACATTTTTCTTCACCAGCTCTCACCACTTACGTGGTCAACTTCATACGTGTTGAGGTCATTCATGCTAACAATTCACAACACAGTGCTTCCTGTGTTTAGACTATTAAAATCTGACAAACAAGCCATTACAAAATCCTAACGATCTCTATGCAACGACTAAAGGATTTTTTAGTCGGGCTATATAAATTGAATGAAATAAATAATAATAATATTAATAATAATAGTAATAATTTATTCTCAAATAACAGTTTTTTACATGAGGCATGCCAATTTACAGGCAAGATCAAATTGTTACAAATTACACAATTTTCACTGTAGTAAGTTACTCAGTTGGGCTGATATGAATGTAGATGCATTTAGCCAGTATCACGGTTGGTGCGCTTTAAGAAAGTTGCGTTGCGACATGCAACTGATGGTCGAGAATGGGTCCACTGAAGTTGGGGGCTTCTAGAAATCGCAACCTTATATCCATTTGAAATATGATGGTGCAGGACGAAATCACCCGTTCCATATATGTTTTCAGTGGCATATCTCAAGGGGGCTGAAAAAGAGTGATAAGCCGAAGGAGGAAAAATAGTATCATCAAATAAGTATCGAATATAATAATTCTAACGAAACTGTTATTCGCTGAGTGTCGGACGTTGTAGGCGACAACCGATCGCTTTCCTAGCTTCAATAACTCGGGAGCTGCCCGATGGTTACCGAAACTGTTGTAAACCACATCTTTCCCGTTCATGTACTAGGGTGCAAGAAACTTTCTTAAATTCTAATAATATAATCTGCAATGAACTAAAGTGTTAAATATAAATTTCGACCTGGTCTGAAAGGTTTGAATAAAACGACCTTATCCAAAACACAGCGAAACTAACGATATTTAATATAACAGTTGTTAAGCAGTTAAATACTTTTAGTTTCCTCAGTAACACATACCTTATGTGACTACCTATACTTTAGGAAGAACGGCTGGTTTTCGGTCTTATTGTCAGGAGAACTCTCCCTACCTCTTGATTTAAGCTTAAGACAGTGTTTTGTTCGAATCGATACTCTCACTGAAATCATATTTTACATTCAACAAGACAGCTTGGAAATCAGTTTGCTGAGCGACATTTGAAATTGGCTGTATTATGAAGCTTTCATTTAAATGTTTATAAGATGAGGAATCACTTGTTCTCAGCTTAATAATTGATCAAAACTGGTTGGTAGATGTTTGTTTAATCGAAAAAATTTATTCCCGGTAGTTTTGTTTCGAAGATTAAGATACTCTTTTCATTATAACTAACATAATGTTAAGGAGTGTGGATGTTGAGTATTGTGTGCCGAAGGTATTACGATTGAAGGTGTATAAATTTGGAATAGACTCGCTTTAGTTCAATTGGTTCGTTAGTAAACATGTCCCTAATCTTTTCAAGTAGGTGACGGGTAGATAAAATTCAACCGTATCTGAAGATTTCCCTCCACAAAATCCTATTCAAATTTAGCTTATTTACTTCAGAAAATATCGGAAAGTTGATGTCTCACACATTCAAATCTTGTTAAAAAAAGTCATCACCATTTAAACTTTGGCTTTTGCCGCACACATTATACACATGGTGCAAGTTGCTTTGCAAAGATTGTATCACGGAAGGCAGTTCGTTTGTTCACTGGGTTGAAAAGCAGATTAAGAAATTATTGTCAACGAGGTTTTCTCAAAGTTCTCGAAGTCGGCATTAATTGTTTTACCCCTTAAACTGTATTATAGTGGATATGTTCTACATTTGCATGTGTTACATCTTATAATTAAGGCTATAAATTATGCGTTCAATGGGTTTTAGATAACTCTTGTGTATCTTAAATGCACTTTAATGGGGATATAAAGCCCTATTTTGTTTACTTTATCTGTCCTAAGTAACACATACCTCTCTTCCTTGACGCAAACCATTTGGTGGAAAATCCTTTCAGAAAAATAAATTTACGCAAAGTATGCCACTCAAAATTGGCGTTAGTGGAGACAACGTTTATGGCAGTTTTATGCTATGGGTTAACGCAATTCACAATAATAATAAAGCACACTTTGTGTAAGTTTACATGCTTTATAAGTCACTCCAGATGTTCAATTCAGTTTGCCATAAGTCATTCAAAGGTGTTTAGGTACATTGCACGATATTGCGGTGTTTATTAAAATAGTTAAGGAAAATCAATTGAGTCAATGTGCACATAAAAATTTTACACCTTAATTCAAACTTTCATACAGCGAAGTACCGATTGTGTGTAATAAACAAAAGCATAAAAGAAAAAGCCAACACAAACAAGCGATCCATAGACATGTACCGTGTTGTCGAGTCCCAGTTGACTATGAGCACCACTACAAAGGAATGCGTGCCAGCATATCCATAAAACCCCCCGGAAGCCAAATATCAGAAGGCAGTTAATGGACAAAGACGAGATATATTTCCTGGCGATCTCGGTATACATTAGACAAGGTAATGCGTATGCGTTCCGTACCAAGCAGCCGGGTCAGCGAGGAGAATAGTTAATAGTGGAAAATTTTCTCGAACAAAGCATGGAGTTTACCGTCACGTGAATAAAAAGTGCCAAGGATTCAGGACACGTACGTGGGAGTCTATTATATTAATACTACTCTAGTCGCTATACGTCATGTCGAGTATATTATATATTGATAAATAATATGAAAATATACGACAGAAGTGGGTAGGTTAACAATAGACTCACCAAATTGACTTCTTTGGGCGATTGGACCAGAGGTTGCGGCGTGTTCCAGAATTCGGCTCACCAGTTGTAGCGTGGTGTCAAGTCCCAGTTGACTATGAACACCACTACAAAGGAATGCGTGACAACATATCCATAAAATCCCCCGGAAGCCAAATATCAGAAGGCAGTTAATGGACCAAGTCGAGATATATTTGCTGGCGATCCCATTGTATCGAAAGGATACCGAGATCACGCCAGGATACAAGCTTGGTTATTGGGCGTAACCGGATTCGCGCGAGGTCACAATCGAAGTAAGTATAATGGATGTCTTTAGCACAGCTAAACAAAAGCACATTAAAACAAACACAGGTACAATTGGTTATAACAATAATAATTGTTTTCATCAAACCAACCGCGTTCTCGTGATAAAACTATGTCACTACTTACCCATACGTGGAGACGTACTATGGGCTGGTAGAACTTAGAATAGTATGTTTAACTGTGCCTGCTCTTACCAACTGTTATAAAAGTACTCACTCGTAGGATAGGGTTATGCTGTAATATACTTGGCATTTTGGCTTATCGTAAAATACTCTTCACTGTCTAATATCACACTGATGCACATCAGACGTGGCCTGTCTTGACTCAGTTTTAGTTACGAGACATCGTTAGCTAACTGATAACACAAAATTGATGACAAATCAACAAACCGAATAGCACTGAATCAGTAATTAAGGAACAGTAAATTCATTTTACAAGCATCTGAATACCTCCCTGTATCTTTTTGGCTAGCCAACAGACTTGGTCAAGCACAGACTATTAGTGACGCCAACCACCTGATCTGTGGGATAACACAATGACACAGAAGCGCAGTTAATATAATATACAGGGTTATGCCATTATATATATATATATATATATATATATATATATATATATATATATATGCTTGCATACAACAACACGTCGTCTCATGCATCACCATGCATGCTAGGGTACCAAGTCATTCTAAATCATGTTGTGCTCTATCATACCCTGATATTTCTCTTCATATATGCAATACTCCTTGGCTACTTTTAGTGGTAGCATTATTAACACAAGAAACTGAGACATTAATAACTGCATGCAAAAACTCGAAATATTTAGAAATCCTTGTAAATTAATACAAAATCGATGCTTTGCCGCGTGCCATAGCGCACGATAACTCTCTGTATGTAATGCCTTTTTAATACTACCACGGAACTAAATCCACACCTAGAAGATTCTTACAATTTGTCTTGATGTGTTTCTCACGATGCATTATTTGAGCACATATAGTCAGACAATATATTCTCGTCATTTGAATTACTGAATCTCTCGCTATTAGTAGCATTATCGTCAGGAATGTAGTAAGCCAGGCTATATCTCTTGGCCATTCAAACAACTAAGGACGGAACTTCAAGTGGAATTGGATCTCGTGAACGATGACCATTAATTCTCATACAGAAATAACGACTAACACCTTAGTTTTGTAGTCGTAGTCCGTAAATGCACTACGTCTTTAATGCAGCCTGGGAATATGATCTCGACGTCACTTAAAACGCTGTATATAATTACGTTTAATTAAATGAAGCTTGATCACCTCATCTAGACCAATATCATCCTGCTTTCATCTTGATAATAAGTAACACCATAGAACTATCGCTGAAATTTTCGGCGATAACTAGGAGCAACATGATAAACATGAAGCACACAGATCCAGCCGCGATGAGGAAATGCGTACTTGGTTTCAGAAAGGCAAGAAACCTTACTTGTAAAGGCTTTATCGAATACCACCTGTGGAGAGGTCCAAATGCGTCACTTCCACTTGAAGTTTGTGCTGTTATTCATAAGATAAATGAAGGCTCCTCGAACGACCTACCTAGGCTAGATAACGAAACTTCACCAAGACCCTAGATAAATTTCCCAGGTGTTGACTGGCTTAGATTCTTACCCATAACTTCTGCAGAATATGAGAGAAATGGATGATTTGGGAGAGGTTGAATTTTAAAGTGGCATCAAAACCTGTCACCACAAGAGTCAAAGATAGAAGTTACGGTACCGCCGTAAACGTTTCAGAACAAGTTAAAAATTCGAAAAGTAACTGTTAAAATTTTAGATTTGTAAGAGGCGACAAACTAGCCTCGGTATCAAATGCATAAGATGAATGGTCTCACTGGTAAAAATCACATTTGAACGTTATGAACTGGCAAAATTTTTGCACGCTGAAACACCTGGTGCTGTCACAAATAATAAAATGACTGAAACAACTAAGGACGAAATAATTTATACAATAGCTTACGACGATGCGAGAATTGAAAAATATTCCATCGTTTGTGTAAGTTCCTGGTTTTTTTTAAGAGGAAAGAGGAACTAAAATATTGTATGTACTATAACTCCAACCCATTTTGCTAAGCATATCGAATATTGAAGAATTATTTCCTAGCTCGGGCCTTATTTGGTTTTTCGCGCTACTATGCCTCAGTCCGCGTTTGATAGAGTGAGTAATTACCGTTTCGTTCTTGGAGTTAATCGTCTATAGATTGTCACTCTCATAAATGAGGCATCTTTGGCACATTTGGCAAGTGTCAAGGTGTCTAATTTGCTTCAAGTAAAAGAGCTACTGATACACCGTGAATGCTCCCTACTGGATAACTTTTTTGAGGTACTGTTTCTTTCAAGAGTCACTCCTGCTTTAGGAGGTTGTCAAATTTCAGCATGATCCAAACACAGAAGTTAAAAGGGCAGTAATCGGTTTCATTGAGGATGCCTGGTGAGTCTATCAAAGTTTTTGAGTACTCCGGTAGTGGCAACAAAAATAATCTCACAAAGCTTTTTGAATGGTTTACTGGGGGTGGATAAAAGTACTGGAGTTATTGATCATGTCTTTGGATGACGTATGTTTTTGGTTTTAAATTCATATGGAATCAGAAACATTTTAACTGGTTTATGGCTCATAGCCCACTCTACCATATCATATGTGCCATTCCAAAGTTGCTGTTTGGTGAAAGATATGGCTTGTGTAATCAGTATCTGATGCTTTTTAACCCAATATCAAATGCTGACAAGATTACGGTTAGAACAAAAGCTAACAGTAATCTTACGAATTACGGTCCTTGAAATCAAAAGTCACTAGTTTAAAGCGTCAGTTAACCTGTACCAAATGTGTGTGTCCTTTGTCATCGTGAACGTCTGCGGAGTTAGAAAGTAGATTTCCACGTTTACTAACTTCGTTTTACCACTAATGACATCAAATAACTAGTAAAATGTTTCCAATAGTTATGTACCGTTTTGGATTAGTCGGTTGTTGGGAATCTGACACTCATCTGGCACTCATCTCTAGCGAGTAGAATAACCCATACAAAATAACACTTCACAGTAATGACGAATCTCAAAATGTCGACAACAAAATCAGGAGTGAGCCATACCATTCACATGTAAACCCATATGGCCACACTTCTGAGTCCTTTTGTATTTCATTTCTTTTATGACTTGCACATATGTACTTACCAAACTAAATGATTAAATTTCACTCTACAGTCGTGTTGATACGGGTCTTCTAAAACGAGCAGTGGGATCTCTGTTCTATCTTTTCTCAACGGCAATACAACAAGATCCTCCATCTGTTAGTTTACTACGATGCCTCACGGCGGCAATGATACCTATTTATCGGATTGCATTATCTCGTGCCATCAAAGTTGGAATAATTGATTCTGGTGTGTCAATGAGCGGTGGTTGTGGAATAATCGCCAATTCAACTGCTGATATAGCCTTAGAAACATTTCGAAGCGTTGCTGGACTTAAAGATGAAATCGTTCGGTTGATGTTACCTTCAGAAGTTTCTGGAACATCAGTTTTTGGCCAGTACCACCCTTCATTGTTTAACGATGCCATAAGAATCCAAGCAATCAGTCTTATTGAAGTTAGTTCCTTATTTTCTGTCTCAGCCTTTCGAGTTTTTACTAAAAATGTTTATCACCGTGCATTAGTAGTACGGCACTCAAATATTCTGTCGTACAGATTAGATAAATAAATTTTAGTTCCTTTGGGTAAAGTAGAGCAAACTGGTTTCCAGCTGCACCTCGACCGTGAATAGTTTCGTAAAAATGCATGTGTCGTTCGGTTTCCTTCGCTTTTTTATTTGTATTATCATTGATTTATTATTTATTTGAACACAAATATTAATATAAAGGGGTATCGAATGCATGTGCGCTACACAAGTTGCTTGATTTTGTGTGTGGGCTGTAATACTTAGCGGGTGCCCAGACCGAAGCAGGTGGTTTTCTTGGGGGGTCACACCCGGAGCCTTCGACCCACAAGGGAGTGAGGCAACGTCAGGAGATGTAGTCTCATGGTGGCCAGTGATCAATATTTAGTTCATACGCCATTCGTTCCCTCAAGATCTTGGAGCCCATGTACACCATTGATTTGGAATCAGGGTTTTCCAACTCCCCTAGGTGGGTCCTCCATATCCACCAACCCGGGTTAAGCACCGAACATTCGCTTTTTGTCCTCTCAATTTTGTACACAACACCCCCGCCGCGAGAAGGCAATGAGTAGGACTTCCCTGGCAGTGTCTCTATACACGTAGTCATGTGAGAGCTTTTCTAGAGGAAGAGCTAACTCTCCCCATCCCCGGTCGTACCAGGGCATTTGGGGGCATCTTGAACTTTAACTAACTAAATGGACCCATCAGGAAATCCGTGTCTATCCACTGCTCATATACGATAGCACTAGTGATTATACTAACTACTAAAATCAAAGCAGTTAAAGCGTTATTTGAACCACATGACAACTGATACATAAGCTTCTTTAACAATCACTCATTTGATCTCTGTGATAGAAAAACAATTTTAAGATTTTGTTGTTAAACCAAATTTGTGATATACTGACTAGTTAAAGATGTACAATAACCGGATTATCTTATTTCCTCTTAGTGTGTAATTATTCTCCATTCACGTCGATTGCCTAATTCTGAAATACCGCGTGAAAATGAAGGTGATTTATCTTTGGATCAAATTCCAGTGCTTACCAACACTCAACTGCAAGCCATCCTTGAAGCTAGTACAGCAGCATCTTCAGCTACACTTCTTCCAGGTGTTTGTTTAGTTCGACCTCATCGATTAGCTGAAGAAGCCGAACGTTTATTTATCGGATTGTCAAGTTGGCCAGTACGCGGGAAGCCTAGTATGTCTTCTGGATCGGTCACATGTCCAGTTCTTGAATCAGTCATGGATTCACTAGTAAATATTGCAAAACAAAGACCTCAATTTATGGACCGTGTTGTTCAAGCATTTGAAACAGTTCATGGCAAGTTATATTTTACTTTTACCATCATCTTCAGTCCTGTTACTTTATTGTGTTGTTATATCTGTTACCAGGCCAAATTGATTGAATACCCCAATAATCTTGTCTAGTGTATTTTGACTGTATTCTGGAATTCACATTTCATCCTATTTTATACTCTCCCTCTGTAAGCCAATCGAGCGCACAAAATCAATTCGTGTAAAATATATTCCGTTGACATTAGATTTCCGTTCTGTAAGATAACTACTGCAAATTATTTGTAACCTGGAGCCTAAATCTGAGGTTCATAACTGTCGGAGATATGCTGTGTGCACACCTGAGGCAGGATTTACTAGTTGCATAGTATATCTGGTTGATGAAATGCGAACGAAACAAAATGCACCTTTTGAATTACACTTTATAACCAGTATTAATTATTACTTTACTAAAGAGTTCTAGATGGACCTTACTAACGAATGGATACAGATTCGCGAACTTGTAGCTTCCTCATATGCTCCTTAACGAAAATACTACACCGCAACATCGGATCACGATAACCTCGCATCTTCATCCGCAAGTCGAAAACGAGAAATATGTAACATAATAATTTGTTTTATTTCATATCCAATTAGTGTACTCGTTCACTTCATATTATTTATATGTTTTACCGATGTTAAGAAAATTTTCATGGGTTTTTTTCTCTACATTATAATCTACATAGTAACATTACCACCTCATTTCTCGGATAATCAAGTTAGTTCGGTGCGGAAAAAACTGAAAAACGGTCTGCTACAGTTACTTAGACATCCAGCTGCTGTATCTGATTTTCAGGGTCGAATTACTATATTGCTAACTGATCTTGGAGCTACTCATGCAGAAGTACGTTTTATATGAATTCAGTAAATTTATTATATTGTGTGCTTTATACTAACTGATTAATGCCTGTTTTGCATGTATATAAGTTGTCACACCAACATAAACTTATTATATGAACCTCAAAATATCTGTCGAGTCGTTTATGAATATTTCTGCGGAATTAGAATCAAAATTTTGGTACATCCCTTTCAATATTTAGCGGAAGGGGGTTGCTTAGATAATACCGTTAAGGTTTCTCATCATCCCTCCTTTCTCATAGTAAGTTTCGTCGTAAATTATGACAAACTCAAAGGCTCATTAGATAACATTTTTTCCTTTGTTTGGACTTCTCTGTAGTGTCATTCAACTAATCTTCAGGCTTTGTAACAACCATTTTACTTTAAGTCGAACGAAAAATTTGTTGGTCTAATAACGAAAACCAGCCAAGTGTATATTTAAGCCACCAATCGGCTTCTACGAATCAATAACTACTTCAGTCATTGACCTATTAGATAGAAAACATGAAAAAAGTTTTTTCCGAAACATTAACTATGGATACCGAATACTTAACAACTTTTTGTATATGTAGTGCTGTATCATTAATCTCTACAAACTGAAATTGACCAGTCATAACGGGAGGCTCAATTTTTCATCTTTTCTGTGTGAAAATATCCACATATCGGAAGAATTTTATCGAGTCACTGCAATCATAGCAAATACATAGACACAGATTTGAATCACTAAATAGACTTAAATCAAAGAATAAAAACCCCATAAGTTTGATGGTCGAATGCTCTTTTGTCTAACGTTTGTTTTATTTTTTGTGATCAAGGTTCTGCAAGCATTGCAAAGTCATACCGAGTTATCTCGTGCACGTCTTTATCCAGACCCAAGCACATTTATGCCTAATCGTTCGGATCCAGATTTTGTTGATCATGGTGATGTGGATATGAGACAACAACAACAACCTAGTATACCTCCCATTATACCATCCCAACCTACTGTATCTGTGGCCCCTAGCAGTTTACCTGCTACTGATGATAAGTTGTCACTCGTTACTCACGTACATACAACTTTTCCATCAACAGACAGTACAATAGCATCTTCTGGGTCTGCTGCACTTACAAGTTCCAGCAAAATACAAGAAGAACCTCAGATACCTGCATCAACGGTACCAATAACTTCAAATGTTACCCCAACGTCTTGTCAGCAAAATCACCCCATAACTTCTAGTGGTTTCACATTAGCTGAAGTGAGTTTTAACAAGTGTATCTTTTGTACTTTTACATCTCTAAATGCCAAACATAATTTTTCTTTGGTTACCGCATCTAATGTTCAGATGAACAGACCTAAATACAGTAAACTCTCGTGCGATTACTGCATCTTTTGAAGCTGCAAAAACACATAGCCTACCTAGTAAAAATCAACGGTAACACGGTCAATTCTGAAAAAACTAGTATTTATTTTAGGATCTCCAACCATACCCATCACAACATTTTGAGCCATGTAAGTAGATGCTGCCTGTCTGGTTGAGGTCAACTAGAAGACCACAATCAGTTGTGGAAGGCCTTGGGTGATATAGTTGAGATTCGTTCAAAGCGGCCCAGATGCACTCCTTGTCTACCTCTCGATCTTGAATTTCGGTATCCTCTCGTACATACCTTTCCGCTCTATGTTCTTGAAACATGCTCTCAATGTGTAGTCTTCACTATCATTCTACTACACTATTTTGATCTCTTTTACCATTTATCTTGTTGATTTCATTTCGTCGTGCTAATGTGGTATAATGACTTAGGCCAACACACATTTGTGCCCGGTTCTATGTTGATTTTCGTCTTATGATAACATACCTCTATTATTGGCAGAATGTAATAGTATTGTGCGCATGGTAGTTATGATTACTAAATATGGATTGAACGCTAACTTGTGGAAATACATAGTAATTCTTCTTCACTACTTTAATCTCTCTGGTCTGCGTAACTATTCTTTTGTAACTTTATTTTGTTTCTTTAAGGCGGAAGCAGCTCTCCGATTTGATGATGACGACGATGATGATGAAGATGACGAAGACATTCAAATACCACGTTCATCTAGACGGCTGAGAAAGAGAGCGCGTATTTCTAGTAGTACGACTAGTGGCGGCACAAAGCACACATCATCAAAAGTTAACTCCAGTGATGGTAAAGGTCGGACACCTGTTATACCAGAAATTGATTTAATTACAACACAAGTAGTGCCCAAGCTAACAACAGCTAATGTTGCTGATCTCGTTTTACTCAGGTAAGCTTTGTTTGTATGGATGATACGATACTTAAGCATGTGGTTTGAAAGTTCATATACCACATGAATTTTACGTCTTAAATGTTTTATTTTTTAACATATATAAACCATCACAATATCATTTAGTTTTGTTTATGAAACTTGCATATTTGAAGGTTTAGGATATACAATAACATGGATATTTAGTTTTCGTAAATTGAACCTGTTATGTCCTATGGACCTGCGTATATATCACGTGACTAAGTCGCCAATTAGAAACACCGACTTGTATGACTAGACCACTGATACATTAACCATTATGAGCAGCCTAGTGTCAACTCTGAGTTCCTACTGGTCCTCTGAGATAGTAGCTTCTCGACTCACCCAGTCGGTTTAGTCCGGAACACCAATATCAGCCTTCGCTATATGAATCATGTATTTCAGACGTACGCAGTTGATATACAAGCAAATCAGACTGAATCATCATAAAATCGAAAATAACAATTATATAAGATCAAGCCAAAAGTGGCTGCAAGTATGAGAGACTGTAACTAATAAATTGTGAACAACTTAAGAATAGTAAATCGTATAATAGTAGTCAATAGATCAAATGAAATCCTGTAACAAAAGGAATATGAATATACATATAATAAAGAAACCCACCAACTTATGTCTCTCGGACATGTACTACGTATATCATCCCAATGAATTCCACATTGTTCATTATTTGCTGACTCTGGGACTGGTTGGAAAAAGCGAAGATGTGGTCAGTGTATAACATGGTGTATGAAAGGAAGCTGTACAGGGCTGGTATCTATTGTTCCCCCACGATTCCCTGGTTGGGGTCCTAGAGATCGTGTAACGTAGTGGCTTGAAACGTTCTTGGACATGAATCAAAATAGAAACCAATGGTGGTCTTGCCGTTATTTTCCTTTACTTTCTTCACATAAGTGAGAGCTTTTTTTTTAACTGAAACAATCCTTTCTGGTTGTAATTTTCTAAACCGAACTACTTCCGTAATTTTACTGTCATCCTCGTATTTTTATTCATTCATCGTATTTTTCATCTATTATACTCACCTTCAGTTCTCTATCTCTCCACAATCTCATCTTATTGTGTAGTGCATACATATTTTAGTGCCCCTTTGTATAGATTTAAACGAATAAAAAGTAAATACCTTCTCTGGAAGATATGTTACTTCTCGGACTATTAGTTTACATAATTTCAATGACCATAAGAGCCTACGAATGGAATATAATTATTTTAGATATATTACCATGCATGACTAAACCTCCCCTCACTTTCAACCATTCAGTAAGCACTGGTTAGCATGAAAGCTGATTAGATAACTACGTATATTAGAATTGAGGTTTCTGCATTAGTCTATATTACTCTAGGTGCATTGATGTCAGAATTTAGTGCGACATTGAAATCGAATACGACCAGTACTATAGTTATATAAGTGTTATTGGTTACGAATTGTTGCAATAAACCCCCACCTTCAGGTAAGCAGGTTTCCTGTACCTGAAGCATTATACCCTCTATATTGTGACTGAGAGTGCACAGTTATAGGCAACTCTGTCTTAGACGTTAAATTAAAGGCCATACACTTAAAGTCATTGGAATTATCGTACAGTCGGGATTATTTAGTGTTACTCTGTTTCTATGACTTTTAATTCGCTACTTTTGGCAACTTCAAATCGTTAGCTATCTTCGAGGATTCGTTTGTCGTTCTACCAACTGGCTTATGTGATTAAGTCTTAATTTCAATTCATTTGTCAGGTATTTATACCTGGTTTTCATGCCGATCACTGAAATACTCATAACCACTAACTTCTTTCCGCACTAATTCCCCAGTTTTTTCGTACATTATATCAATCAATGGTAAAATACAATGCTGTATGGTTTAGTGATTGCGAGTTGTCCCTACTCAACATTCTTTAGCCTGGAACCCGGATTATTTTTAAAGAGATTAGACTAGCATATATTTGTAAAGTCGTTTTTCCTACTATTCAAACTGTTGGAACTAAAATACCATTTGTGTTTATGTAATTTGTTTCAGAGTGTATTTATTGATTTTCTTTTGATTTTTATCTCACAGTATGGTTACCTTACCTGATCAAATGCCTGCTTCATTTCACTCGACTTATACACCTATAGCAGCAGCCGGGACATCAGCGCAAATTCACCATTTAGCACGTATGCTTGCTGTACAGTTAACTGTTTGGGCTAGTGAAGGTGGACAGTATGAAGTTTTAGATAGAATAAATCAGTTAGAGTTATTATTAATTCCAGTTGATGATGATAATGATGCCAGCAACCAAATAAATCGCAAACGTACTTTAAAGTCTGAGTCACGTACTTCTATTGAACAAGGTGGTGATATTCAAAAAGAATCTGGTAAATCTAAGAAGCGACGTATGGTAAGTTACTTAGCTTTTATTTAGCATATGAGATTCAATAAATAAATAGACAAACCTTTTATGTTAAGGTTTATAGGATTTGTTGAAGTCGTAATAAAGCAAATATCATTGTCGTTAAGTGACTGTGAGCAAAGTTATTTCTGTTTTAGAAATATAAAACATTTTTTAATTAATATAATTCATCATTAGGGATATTTTAAACAGCAAAATGCATGAATAGTTTACCAAGTGATTGGGGTCGAAGCAGAAAACTTTCGTATTAAAAAGTCCTGTCCATCACGTGACGACAGTATGAAACTGATTTGGGCAGTATCACTATCTCTTATAAAAGCAGTTTAACTGAAAACTGAACAGTTAAACTTTTTCTTGATAATTAGTTACCTTTAATAAGTCAGTCAGCTACAACGTAATACCAGGCACATATGTGCATCGGTCCAAGTTGCCATATCTCATTAGCACAAGATGAACACCGGGAAGACAGAGAGTGTATACACCTGCGCCATCGTGATCGATTCTGGGCCGTGTCCAGAGTCTCCAACCATTAGTTACGATAGTCACAAGGACTCCAAACCAAGTAGTCTGCATCTACCAACATGACTAATAATAGAAGTTAGTAGCTTCAAGCACTGATGCCACGTTTTGGTTTGGCCGCCCCTAACTTTCTTCCAACCATCCCCAACACTATTCAGCATTGCGCGTCGTGGTAATCGGGGCTCAGGCATACGCAACACGTGGCCCAACCATCTCAGTTGGTGAAGATTCACAACCTCATCAACTGATTTACCATCATTCCCTAATACCCTACGTCTAACCTCACTATTACTTACCCGGTGATCCCAGTAGATGTGAGCAATATTTCTAAGACATCTGTGGTCAAATATTAGTAGCTTACGAATATCTACTCTTAATGGCCACGTTTCGCAGCCGTAAAGTAAAACAGAACGAACTTCTGAGCAGTATACTCGTCCCTTAATTGGTAGACGGATATCTCGCCTTCGCCATAGGTGACGTAAGTTGGCAAAAGCCAAACGAGCTTTTCGAATCTGTGCTGAGATTTCGTCAGACACCAACCCATTTGGGATAATCAGACTTCCAAGATAAGTCAAGTTGTGGATGCGTTCGACTACTTCACTCCCTATCCTTAGTTCAGGTGTTGATGCAGACCAGTCCTGAAGCAACAACTTGCATTTAGAGGGGGAAAAGGGCATCCCACCTTTAATGAGGGTGAGTAATTTTATGGGTTTTGTTTCTTTTAAACTATTATGACATAATATACTTGTCTTTTTTACCATCTAAGCTTTTAAAAGGTGACCAGACGTCTGCTGAAAATGATCCTGAAGCTGAGGATGCTTTAATCAGAGCTAATGCTGCTCGTAAAATGCATAGCGCTCAGACAATGAATATATCCACTCTTGTTGGATATAATATTCAACAGGTGGCAACCAATGAATCAATAGATCTTAATATACCTCCACCTGGCTTAACTGGTCTTGTTTCAATGTTTCCTCCTTCTACTTTATCTTCTGTGCAAAATACAATGGTCATGCCTCCAACAGTACCAAATATGATGGTTCCTAATTTCAATCCATCACAACCGCCACCACCTTTATTACCTATGATGATGATGATGCCAACAATGGTACCGACACAATCACAAACTCAAACCACATTAGGTGTTGTAGCTGGTACACCATCTAATTTATCTGTTCCTTTCAATCAATTTACAAACTCATCGCTACCTATGCCTTTGAATGCGATCCCTCAATCTGATTTAATTGGTAAGTTGTCATTGTAATGTCCATTCACGTTGTTGTACCCTGCTTTGGTTCCGTTGTACCTTTTTTTAACAAATATATATATATATATATATATATATATATATATATATCCATTTGGTAATTGTGATTTGTTATAGTTTCTTTTTAATTTCATTTAGCCCCAACTCCAGTCCGTCCGTTCTCATTGGATGCTGTAACTACTTTCCTGAGTCGTGATGTACAACGGCAACTTGCTCGTGACGCATTTATGCGTATTCTAGAAGGTTTGGGGATTTCATTCATTCGTCGTCAATCCCTTACTGATGGCACAGTTGTTCCTACACCAGGAACAACAGATTTACTATCAGGTCAATATGATGTAAATAGAATGAAGTTATTAACTCGTTTAACAACACGTCGGTTTGGTGGCAATGAATTTTATAATAGTAAGTGTTTAGCTTAATTTCTCGTTATTTGTTTGTCTTGTTAGAAGGATATTCATCAAAGAATAATTATCAGAGTGCTAGTTTGTTTCCAATCATTGGTTCTATTGATCAAGGGTTAGAGTCGAACCAATGGCTCTTCTGGTAAAATAATAGTTAAACAAATAGTTGGAAAAAGGAATAGTAATAAACGTTAGACATTGAGCCATAGTACCTATTATTTCATTGTCTGTTATTATGGTGCCGCTTACAGACTGCCACACTTGTATGATAGCCGGTCGTATCATATATATATATATATATATATATATATATATATATATATATATATATATATATATATATATATATATATATAATTCCGTCGTTTGCATTTTTCATTGTCCTGTACCTGTAATATTTGGTGAAACTAATCCTTGCTGAGCATTCCAAACCATGTTAACCGTCATGACTAATCATATGTTTTTTAAAAAGGAATAATAAGTATTTGTCGAAAACTGGTAAATGTTTCACAGCTTCTGCAATAGTCTGAAGAGGACCTTTCAGCCTAGTAACTTACAGATCGCCATTCCTGGGAATGAAGTTAAGAATTAAACCCTAATGTTTAACATGTAAAAGGTTCACTCTTGAGAATTTCAAGTTTTATCTCTCGAAAGAATCTATTTGTGGTGATACACTTATCCCATCTCAGCTTTTATTGTTCGAAACATCCCTAGAAGTTCTCATAAGTTAAACCGTTAAGCTACCTTGTCGTTTCATGTTTTATCTCATACTTTCTTAATGTCGTTCCCACCTGACTATTTTGCATTTGGCATAGTGATTGAATTACTGATTTGAAACCTATGGATAATCACTGCTCAATGTCTCATATCTACTGGAAATATCGTGTACCTATAAGGAAGTGTAGGTTTTTACGATTATGAGCTGATAAATTCCTATACGATTTCCACCGCAAAAATGTGTAAACTTATAATGGAATTCTAATCTTTTACTGTCGATTCCCGTAGAATTACGATTCCGATAGTGCGAAATTGAGAAACTGCTTCCCAGTTATTACTATATTATCTAATGGTCAATCCGGAAACCGGACGCAGTTTATACAGTAGCCCAGAAAGTTTATTGCAGCTGACTGATAATGACACTTTGAATATCGTAAATATCTGTATAAAATTTAAAGCTGTCTTTGAGGACTAGCTACTGAGTACGTAAGTTTCAGGACTCCTGATTCAGCTTTATACCTACAGTCCGAAGTAACCAAAAAGCGATTTTAGCCGACGTTTAGCAAAACGTCGCATTTCTCAACTCACACGTCTTGATATATATATGTATATATAAGGGACACTTTGGCAATAAATATTTTGAATAATCGTTTGAAATTTGTTTTTATTGCTTAGTCGTGCTTAAATAGATGTTTTTCCTACAATTAAAATATTTCTTTCATTCTCTTTATCAACCAGTACTTATTGATCATGCCATCCAAAATCTTCGTTATGGATTTGAACTGTTATCAAAATTATTAATGCAAGAATATTGTCGTTATCGTGGTTTTCAATTGATCGGTTTCGGTTCATTTTTGGAAACACGTCGTCATCAATTATCTGTGATCCGGGAACAAATTCGTAAACGATTCGAATCATCTACCTTAGAAAATAGTGTTGTTGTCAATTCCATAGTTGATTCAAAAAGAAATGACGATATTACTGAGGATGACAATCTACATAGTAACAATGCTGTCCATTCGGAAAAGTTGACAAATACAGAAAATAAAGAGGCTACCAATTGTACTGATACCTCATCTATTGATAAGATTTCCAATGTGGACAAGAACAGATCAGAGTGTTTGCCAAAAGATACAAGTAATGGTGAGAAGAAAGTAAAGCGTGAGAATAAAAACAAAAAAGATGATGAAGAGGAACCAGAAGCAGGAGAAGATGGAGAAGTGGAAGAAGCGGAGATGGAGCAAGAGGTCGATACTAAAAGCGCATGTAAATCTAATTTGAAACAATTAAGAAATACTGGAGATGTAAAGTCGACTAAAGAAAAATTAAATCTTTTGAAAGTGTCACTGGCACCACCGGATGATTTAGGCTGTTTATCATTTTACGATTGTTTGTTGATTGCAATTCTTCAGAAATTATCCAATCCAGATCTACGTCAACAGTAAGTTGATGTTAATAATGATGGTTAATTATTGAATATTTTAATTTATTATCATTTGATGTTCATTTACATCGTGGACTATCGTTAACTAGACGGTCATTGGGAATCAAAGAGTATTAAACAGCCATTTTATTTCAATTTCGAATTTCCTAACAATGAACACCCTACCCAGAAATGAACCTACCACCACTTGGTTTCCATCCAGTGGTTCACGTTTCTAACTTCAGTCACTTCGTGATATCGATCTGTGGTAATACGTTGTTATTCATGATGCCTATTTCATGTCCGATATAATTGAACTCTATCGGCCACTAGAAGTCCGAGAGTACTTTGTGAATTTAGCCGCTGGTGAACACATGATTATTATTAATTAGTTGATTTGTAATGGCTGTCTAAGGCGCACTTAATATTTTAACAAATCACGGATTTTTGGTCGGCGATTGTGATTTAATTCTTTCTTCTTTTTCGAAAGTTTCGGAAACCATACTAAATAGTTGATAAAGTGGGGAATATAGTTACTTTAATGTTTATTATTTTTCAAAATGGATATTTTATACTTTTTCATGAAAGGAGTATGGAAAGGAGTCTTATACTGATATTTACACTTCTCAGTAACTTTATTAGATTCTAATATGATTCATTATCCACTGTTTTCTTACAAGCACATAATATCAACTCTGTACCGATATTTATCTGCTTTTTGAAGATATAACATTAAATGTAATAAACTATATATTTGGCTTTGCCATTGTTGTAATTTTAAGTAACATGCATGGTCTGGGACCTGATCGATTCAGCCTGGAAACCAAGTAACAGTTCGCCTATCTGACTTTAGGCCACACTTTCTATTTGTGAGTCTGTTGTAATCAACACCAGCTCTGGCACAGACATTTGTTAACCCGAGTTGGTATACTACGGCAGGACGAGATGAAATTAATGAGATGCACAGGAAGACAGTCAGTAATAATAATAATGGTATCGATGATAGTACTTGCAAGTAAATAACACCGTTGAATGCCGGCTCACTGGTCTAGAGAATAAGCGTTTGCTTGCGAAACCTAAGGCCCTGGGTTCGAGCCCTACATGTGGGATCGCGCGTGAGCACTACTGAAAAGTCCCATGTTAGGACGAATCGGCTTCCCACTGCTTCCAGGTTTTAAATGGTGGTCTGACTTGATTTCAATAAAATTCAACCATCTCCACAACCCCATACTAAAACTAAACACTAAAATCAAGTTTAAAAACAAGAGTAATTCGAAATAATTTCGAACCTCGAGACTACAAAGAGAGAGAAAAATAGAGTGAATGCATGTGCAACAAGCACCGACTCTGCGTTATGGCACCCAACGTTTCCAACTACTGGTCGTGGTTATCGCACCGCGTGAGCCTGGTCCAATTAATGTTTCAGGCTTTCAGTTTAGTATTTACAAGTTGGGTTCTTTAACCAATAATACTCAACTCCAGTCAACTGATCATAGAAAGTTAAATGCTCTTATTAACTGCTACAAAACTGCGGTACATTGTACCTAGTATTATGTAGAGAAAAGGACAAGTGTCCAAAGTGTAGCCACAATACATAATAATAAACAAAAGGTATCTAATATGTGATATTACTTGGTATGAAATTTAAGTAACATCACCTTCCTAATGATTCCAAACAGTATATTAGATTCGGCACTGACCATCCACACTAGTCAAGACATAGAGGGGAGAAGTTAACAAGTTGTAAATCGGACGGACTAAATTATATATATATATATATATATATATATATATATATATATATATATATATATATATATATATAATTTTTTAATAGACAAATCTGTTTTTTTTGTTTAATGTAGCTACTTCAGCAGATTTCTAATTGAGGCACCTCTTTTAACTCCTGGTGCAATAAATGAATTGAAACGATATTGTTCATCACCAGATCAAGCAACTTATGGATTTGAGGTTGGTCATGAGAATTTTCAAATATGCATCTTTTTTCATATTTATTCAAGATACTTTCTCTTTTTTCTTCTTGCTTGTTAGTTAGTAGCTTGTCTTTGAATATCTATGTATGATAATACTTTTGTACGCTAAGCTAATTATTCCCAACTTCAATATCATGAATGAGACTGACTGTTTTCTGTCTTGATTGTTGCTAACTAGAGTACATCAAGTTGAAGTTCATTTAAGAGTTTATTTTTGATAAAGACTTTAAAATAATTGAATTGCATACTTTTTTCTTTCTTCAAAAAATCAAGCTTCATTTAGTAAATTAAACAATTATCATTAAACTCTAAATCTACAATGAATTGATTAATACCAATGAAAATGGATTGAAAGTTAACTAAACAAAAATCATTTTAAATTGATGTACAAATTTTAAGATTAATTTTCTTCCTTTTATTATTTGTATATTTATGGATATAACATCTTTAACATATATAAGCATTGATAACAACAACTAACTTTAATTATGTACTATCTATTCAGGTTTAACATTTATTAGTCCAACATAATTTTATTTTTCATGATAATATAGTTTACAGGAAGTCAAACAATAAATGGATCTGTTGATCAGTTTTGCTATTATATTTAGGTGAACTTTTTCACTAATTAAATACAAACTCGAACATACAATGTAGTTGACGTACAGTTAAAAGTCGTATCAATGCTTGTATCATACATAAATCTTTCATTGTTTAAAATGACATTACAAAATGAGACGAGGATTCATTACATTCTGTGTGTTATTTAACCTATGTGATCTAATGATTATATTACTTACAAGTGACTTATTTTAGTACACATTTTTTTTACCTGCTCATATTTTATTGGTTAATCAAAAGCTTATCCATTTTTCTACCGATTTGGTATATTTAATTTTTATTCAACGGATTATTTCCTCCCTTCGTGACTGCGTTAAATATTTGTTGTTACTGTTCACCATCAGGAATGTATGTTCATAATTTCAGTGATTCTGGTGACTTTTCTCAGATGACAATTGAAAATTAATAATCCACTATGGTATATTGGATAATAATTGCAACATCACTGCCACACTTGTACTATAAAGCCGTTGTTGATGAAAGATGTTGGAGTCATTTGAAGCACTTAGAATATCATCATTCATTGAATGTAACCAAATTGTTGAACAAGTACTTCGATATACATACAGACATATAGGAGTTTATATCTAACAGGGAGGTTCGTAGTCCAAATATATACTATATACTTGAATATTTCCTTATTTCTTCCCTAGATTTTGTCATTGCAATAAGTTGAAAATTCTTTAGATATGAGACATGACTACTTTATGCAACTAATGAGCATCGTTACGTGATCAAGTTCAAATTAACAAATAGAATAATGCAATATTTAGATAGCTGGAAGTTAAATATTGTTCGAAGACCTATTAGTATACATATTACTCCTGATGGATTAAAAAGTGATTCTATACAGTAAGAGGATGTACTGACCTGTTGTACAGTTTTCATTGTAGCCTTGAATAAATAACTAAATTCGGTTTATTGTATTTTTTTGTTGTCAAAGGATTTGTGACTTTAATTGGAAGTGCCCTATGAAAAGTTAGGATTGAAGTTCTAGATGATGAAAAGTAGCTCAGTTATTTACTGTAAGAGGATAAGTGTACATGATTTTCTTATGGTTCATCTCTACAGTCATGAAGTTATGAGATTTTGATAAGGACTACATGTAGAAAATGAATTTGATGTTTGGGGAAGGTGGATTTGTAAATTGGACGACTTGATTTCGATCTAAGTAATTGGTGCATGGATTTCGTCCTTATCATACATTGAAAATATAGACATTTGTTATTAGCGTGTTATTTTCCTCATCTATTCTTCTGCATCTTTCTCATCTTAATACTCTATTCAACCAATGATTCCTTCTTATGTAACTGTTTACCAACTGTAACAGATTGATAGGTATCATTACCAAGGTTTGACTTGATAATTTCAAATAAATTGAGCATTGGGTCGATTGTTCTAAATAAAAATATATTTGTAATATCCCAGTGAGTAGAAAAATTAGATTTTCTGACGTTTCGTGACTCAGTGTAACCTAAGTTTAAATAGTATAAAGGAACAGATCAAACTGACACATTCAATTTACATCTCCTTTCTTTTAGAGTTCTTTCTATATTCTTTTCTCAGTGGATTAGTCCTGTTGTGAATGTAATTTATATATTTTTGACTGTGAATTAACATACTCAACTATGCTTATTGTGTAGTGTCATTCTTTCTCAATATTCAACTAGATATTGCGTACATTGATCGAAACACGTCCAGTTAGTCAAAGAGAAGATCTTTTGAATATGTTATTACATTTTTGTTCGGTGGATGCATTAGAAATTCGCAAAGCTGCATTAACTGCTACAAGAGAACTGGCAAGTTCTGATCCTAGATGGCAAGATCACATAGAGGTACTGTATTATTTTCTAAACCTTTTTAGCATATATATATATATATATATATATATATATATATATATATATATATATATATATATATATATATATATATATATATATATATATATATAAGCATAGTCTGCGTTTATGTGACTCCATTAGAATCACCAGTAAAGTCGCTTGCGACTTCGCGAAACATCCCACTTACAAGCATTGAGTTTTTGCAAGCTCCTTGAGGTAAGCCGTTCGACTCTTGCGAATCATGAGTTTATTGTTACATATAGCTTCTTATGTATAGGGCCTTTGCAAAATTTGCACAAGGACCGAGAAACCTAGTGTTTGAAGCATCCTATTGAGTTAAAAAAACAGTAGTTGGGTTTTGTTTCGAGTCATTCAAACCACGTCATCAAGAAGTCTGTTGTCATTGCGATAACTTCTAAAGACGATGGCATGCCATTTAGTAACAATGGGTAAAGTTACTCGGCGAACAGTTCAGGAGTAGCAATACTGATCGGATTGTTCTGTACTCCTTAGCCGCTGACTACTGATCCATCTAACGAAGAGATTAATATTTCTAAAATGTCTCAAGCTTTCGGGGTCAGACGACCTACCCCCGGATTTCTTAAGGAAGGTAGTGAACTTTGAGTCAACTGACTGAATCGTTTGAGAAAGTATGGGTAACAGAGAGTAATCTAACATCTTGAAACGAAGTGACCGTCGTCCCCATCTTTAAAAAGAGTCCACGTAATTTATGTAATAATTATTGTGTGACAAGTATACTTTCGATCATATCCAAACTATTGACTTCTGTCATACTCTGTGGATTGTGCGAAACCCGTGAAAGATCGATTCACGAGGAACAAACTTTTTTCCTACCAGGTTATCGATATATTGATTATACCTTCATACTCCACCATTAGTTAGAGCAACACCACACTTATTGCAGACTAACAGTCATTGCATTTCTTGATATCATGGCTGCCTTTAATTCGTTGGAGATGAATTTTCTGGCATTGTCTGTTGAGGAAGAATGTGTCGGAGTTTTTTAATATTTCGAAGACCCTATATACATATGCGTCAGGGTTTAGGGTTTACAAATACCTCTCAATTTTTCCATTCAAGCAGTGGGATTAGGCAGGGTTGTTCAATCCCTCCATTCCTCTTCAACTTTGCCATCGATGACGTTTTGGAGACACTTCTGATGGAAGTAGGTAATGGTGATGTGGATCTGTTACCTGGAGGCACTTCGACGGTAAGTATGTGGATCATAATGTCTTACTGTTCAATGATACTCAAACCATGCAGCGTTCACTTAATCAATAAGCAATCAGTGTGCGTAGGTATGGGATGTGGTTTTTGTCTTCTTAGTGCAAAATGACTTCTATAAGACTGGTAAGAGACTGTGCCTGTATTCGCTCTTATTAGTGATCAGTTAGTAGTAGCTTCTCATGTTTGACGAATGTCTTCTGAGCAATTTCTACTTTGTGGATTGTTTATCGAAACTGGGACTAGGTAGGAAAAGCATAGAGATGATCATTTTAAAACATGGAACTGTGGTGAGAAGAAAAGCTGTATAAGACTAGCATCTCTCCATCCTTCCCTAATTACTGCTTTGGGTCTTAGAGGAGGTGCGACTCAATCAATCTACCTACATGCTGATGAGCCTTACTATAAAACTGAGGAAAGATTGGACATAATTGACTGATGTCGATTTCTTTAAGGTTGTTAAGGCACTACCGTTGAGTATCAGCAAATACGAGATTTTTCCAAGGTTACATGCTACCTATGATAGTAGTGTCTCATGCATAAACATATCATATTGTTGTGTTTTGTTAGTTGAGATTATATAGCTGTTTCTTTCCTTGTTCACCCCTTAGATGTTCGCTGTACAAATGCTTAAAAAGCTGTTACAACCTCGTCCAAGTCCAGATATTTTTCCATTTCTTAATCAGTCATCAATACCGTCAAGTTGGACAGACGAAGCCTGTCAAGCTTGTGCACACTTATTTCTTGGTTTGATGCCTCAAAGCCCTGGACTTATGCATCAGTATGTTCTTATTCATTAATGATTAACTGTAAATCATATTTAAATATTGCCTCCATAATTCTGTTATGCTTTTATGTACAAATTAATTGTATTAACTTAAAGTTATATTTCGTTCCCCCATGAATCATATCGTCTATACCTAGTTTTTTCCACTTCTACTGGCTATAATACTCTAGGGTTCTTCATTTCATTGCGTTAATGTGTTGTGGCAAATTAAACTGATGAACGTATGTTCCATGTTCTACGTTAAATATGACTGACTAATGTTTGGTGTGTCAGTCATTTCCTTGTAGTGACGTGAACGTATGCAGTCAATATTTAGCGTATCGTTAATCTATGTAATTTTATATATTTTAGTTGTATTAAGAAATATATGAGTTTATTAATCTACTTTTGAAGAACAATCGTTATTAATTGTAAAAACTCTCACTTTTTAATTCTCATTTGGGATTTTTAAACCAATAGCTCAATATTCTTCGGGTTTATAAGTTAATTATATTTCGGGATCTATTTGCATGTTCTCACTTATTTTAAAATTTTCATCTGAATGTTACACATCCTATAGTTGATGTCAGTAATTAAATTTGAGCTTACTCATGAAAATCACAAAGCAACTAATTTACAAAGTCTATTAGCCTTTATATCAAGCGGTATGCTATCTACTATTAATTATTTACATTATTCTTTATTTTTGAGTTCCAAAAGTGACCTAAAACAATTATCTTAAATTCATTTGTTAGTCAATATCTATAATTTACTCATGAAATGCTAGTATTTAAATGTTGATTATTATGTTATTGTATTTTCTGTTTGTGTTTTCTCTGAATTGGTTAATAGGTTGGCTGAAGTTTATACTCAAGCTTGCCCAAATATAAAACGATGTTTACTTAGAATGGTTGATTTACCGGTTAGTTTAATACTAGTTACTTTTTTTAAAATAAAAAATTCATAGTCATTATGGTGTTCTTTATAAAAAACAAGTGACCATTCACAAAATGTTATCAAATTTACAATGGAGTTGTGATTTCTTTGGTTAGACCATATACTTGCCAACTTTTCTCTTATCATCTTTGATTTTAATCAACTGGATTTCATCATTAGCTCTCAATTATATGATGAATGACTCAATACTTCGAGTACATGGATGTGTAGTTATGAATTTATTAAGCAGAGAATTCATAATTATGAATGCCTAATAAATAAATCAAAAGAATATATATGTAGTATTGATGACAATCTATGCCAGTTTAAAAATTGAGTTACTGGATAAATTCAAAGTCATAAATAAAGTTTACTGCTGATTTTCAGCACATATTTATTGGTTTATTTTTAAAGAAAAATTTTCAGCATCTTTTGTAAAGTCAGCTATCAATTCATGCTTGTATTAACTTGAAAGTATTTAATAAAACGTTTCCTGAACCCGATTTGCAGTGAAGAGAATTGTTATGATCGACAAACCCGATTCAGTTACAATCACACTCCCTTTAACATTTGACTCAACTATATATGTGAGACGAAGCATTAATGCCAATATCTAACCCATTTATATATAAATTGAGGTGAGAGCACGCTAATAGTAATATCAATAGTATTCTTATTATCTCAATTAACCTCATACAATTTTAAGACCCAGTTTTAACCGAGATTCCACTATATGGAAGCCAACAATGCTACCTTAATTTCAACATTGAAGTGAGTTAGAAGTATGTTAATTCCATGCTGTGATTCAAGTTTCGCTCCACTTAAGATAGTATAACTAGTCTTCACTTGAAACAAGGTCTAGTCTAATATACAAATCGGCACTTAATTACCGAGAAGGATTAAGTTAATTAGTGGTAGGCTTGTGGTTACAGCGTTCGACTTTCAGCTATTAGATCGCATTGCCAAACCCCACTCTATTTCTCCTTAGACAGCCCTCACATTCCGAGTATGACTTAAAACCAGATACAAAATTTTTTAACTGATAAATTAGCTCAACATTCCTATACAAAAAGTAAAAATACTAAACTTCAAGTCGATGGAGAATATTTGTAACTCAGTATGTGTTGTGATCTCTAAGTTTAATTATAAAGTTTTCATTGTTCCTTCAAACGACATGAGTACATTTACAACTAATAAACTCAACGTTAAATGGTGTTCATTATTTGAATTATTTTGGTTAGCTAAGATTTTTCATTGATTTTATTTTAGTTCTCACCATTCATTGTATTAGGTTATGGATATGTATATGCTGTTATTGTTACCAGTATTAAATTGTAATCTTCAACATCTATCGACTCGATTATTTTCCAAAAAAAAACATGATAAAATAATCAGTTTTAATACCATTCTATATAATTTTACTTCAACGAAAATACTTAGTATGGTTATCTGTTTGTTGGATTTCATTTACAAATTATAATTACTTTCTTGTTTTCTAAACTTATTTTCATTAAACATTAAGAATTTTATCTACACATTGTTATAGACTGTTACATAATCCACCTTTTTATAATTATCATTATTTCGTTGATAATTTTGCTGTGTAACTTTAGTTTTATACATGATCCGTACACTAGTTTATTCATTGCATCATTCACTGGTTATGTCCGGCAGTTGATTTTGTGTTCTTCCTTCTTTTATTTGTATGTGTGCACGTTTGTGTGTGTGTGTGTGTGAATTAAATCAACATTCTTTCATGTGATAATTTAAATAACATTCTCTATTGTTTTATTTATAATGTTAGATTCGTGATATCGGGATTTATTCAGTAGATCTTCATAATTTAGTTAGTGAATGTCCAAATGGTGCAGAAACTCTCATAACACGTATGATACATATTCTTACTGATTGGCCATCAGCTGCCAATGCAGCTGCTGCTACCGCTAATTCATTAAGTGTAAATACCAGTAATACATCTGTTCAATCATATTCAACTCCAACTAAAGTCCAAACAACACCTCTTAGTCCCGGTAATAATACTCATCAGATCGGACAATTGTTAATTGGACCAGCTGTAATTATTCCACCACCTTCATTAGTTGACCGAGTTTATCGTTTATATGAAGAACGTGTACATGATGTTCGTTGTCTTATTCCTGTGATTGTTGGTCTATCTAAACAGCAAGTTATAAACGCACTACCTAAATTAATACAATTAAATGAAAAAGTTGTAAAAGAAGTATTAACTCGATTGTTACATGGTAAGAAAATTGTAATTTATCATTTACTAGTTACTTTTTTGATGATCGTTGTTGAAATATTAATCATTCAGTTAAACTGTAAATACACATAAATCACAGTTATTTTTAAAGAAAATAAGATTTAGGATTATATCAATATTATCCCTTTTCGAACTAATTTCCTATTTGTGACAATACACTTGTCCTGTTACTGTTTCTGTTTTTTTTCGAAACATCCCTTAGAAGTTATCAGAAGTTAAGATAGTTAATTGCTTCATCGTTTCACTTTTTATCTTCTCAATGCTGTTCTCGAATAACTATTTGTAAGAATAAAACTTTATAAACTTAAGTACGATAATTAGGATAGGTGATCTTGTATGGTGATCGGATCAGAGGTCAGAAGCGCTCAGGTAAACATAACCAACAATCTCCATATACCAGTCTGTGTATTTATAGTGTAGTGGGGATAACCAACTGTTAGAATATCTTGGTGAAATATGAGAACCATACACTGAATACTTTATTTGCAAATCTTCATCATTTGTCCTTCACATTCTCTATGATTCCTCCAGTTCACAACTCCTTTCTATTTCCCCTTCTGTTCGCTTCAACTCGATCTTCTTAGCCTTCTGCTGCCAGGTTTTACACCTCCGGTCGGTGTTACATGTTACTTATGTCGACAGACATAAGTAGCATACACCACAATAGGACAGACTATGCTTTATTGTAAAAGTAATCATATCAGCCCTCAGCTCATATATTCCTTGTTCTGTATTTGTTATATATGTTAATCATTAAGCTTTATTGAATTTCTTTAAACCTACGGATATTTAATGAATAATTCATGCAGACATGAAATCGCGTAGTGTTGTAAAACTAAGAGAATTAGTCGAACTATACACTTAACAACATATAGCTTCATTTTTGGTTGCTTTGTGTTTTGTAATTTATAATTGTTCACCTACAGCTTACTAATTAAATGGTTTTCATTGAAAGACATTTGCTCAACGCTTGCCAACCAGAAGAATAATGTATTGAGCAACAGACCGCTCTGTATTATTTTATAACTGTAAAGGATGGTCCTTGAAATTAAAATGCATGCACAGGCTTTGGATTTTGATGTTTTTGGGCATAAGTATCTTTGGATCATTGCCGTCTTGTCGTGGAACGACTGAATGAGCAGTGTTAAGGCTAGGAGTAAGGCACTAGACAAGGGTAGCACTTATATTGGTGATGTAAATGGCTAGGATACATGTTACGTATGCCTAACTACTACCTACCTCGACGAATGATGTTTGTTAGTGTATTAGTGGATCCAATGAAGGCTAGAGAAGGGTAAACTAAGACATGATATCTATCCGTAGTCATTGACTATTCATCTGAGGTAGATACTGACTAACTGGTTGAGGTATTATAGCAACTTGTACCGACACATATTTGTGCTAGTGTCTGCATTGCGGATGACTGATTAAGTGAAATCCTTGTTGAGTATTGAATTAATATATTTGTGTATCTGTCGTCTATATTGTCAATCGATGAAAAGGTATGCTTTAATTGTTTAGACTTTTCTCACGTTTTATGGTTTAAATTTTGCCTATCGCAGGAAATTTACCACTTCGTTCATTTTTATTTATTAAAATATACTATAGCATATTGCTCATTAAGGTGGTTTCCTTCACATTTTCTAGCAAGTGTAGCTACTCAGTATGCTCCACAAATTAAAGGTGTCAGGAACATTCCATTTAATTTAAGTGATCAACCTTCTCCTCTTGGTCCTTTAAAACCTGAAGAATTATTGGTCGCTATTCATTTGTTGGAATTCGCCAAAGATCCTTCAGCACCGCCCTCATCAAATGAAGGTAAAATGTTATTAGTTGTTATTTAATTCTTGTGTGTATCTTTATTGAACTAATGTGATTTTGATTCTTGTCATCATTATTAATTTGTTCATAGGTGATGGTTAGTTCGTCAACAGACCCGATATTTTCAGCTCATCAGTAGTAACATTTTATTGATCGGTTTTCATTGACTTTTTCTTGTTTGTTCGATTGTATTTAGGTAAATCGACAAAGCCTTATGTAAACCTTCAATCTATACTTCATGCATGCCGTGTTTGTTTTGCTGAACGTCGATTGTTTACACAAGAACGTCTATCTGTTGCAATTGGCCAACTTTTAGAACAACCTGTTCTGCCTACTCTATTTATGCGTACTGTTATGCAAGCATTAGCTTTACATCCTCGATTGGCTGGTTATGTAATCAATGTTTTAGTTCGATTAATTCGTAAACAGGTTTGTTTGTGTATTACTTTGTATTTTATAGTTAGATGTTTTAAAAAAATGCCATACTATTTCTAATTAAACAGTAATTCATTTCTATCTATTAAAGAATTGAAAAGTGCAACCCTTATAAATCATTATTGATATCGTAAAAGGTTAATGTTACTACACTTAATCATTCATTTATACAGCTCAGGAATAATCTTCAGAACAAGTGATTTGTCTCATAGGCTAAAACTCAAATCATAACGTTTAATTATATATTTTACTCGATAAGCATTTTCAAGTAGTAATATTTTATTCTTGATTCTAAGTAAATCCAACTATAAATTTGGCGTTTAAAGATATTTTAACCCAATAAGTAATGGATCATAAAACTTCAAACATATGATAAAGTGCTTTTAAACGGTGTAGAATACGTAACTATGAATTCATTGTTCTCCAGATTAGCACAACAATGCAGTTCAGTTAGCATGTATGCATTCTTACGTTCGTCTTTAAGCTCCATCTAATTAAGGTCCACTTATTTGGTGCCTCTTTGTACCAATATTTATGTGTTCAAATAAATAAATAAATATTTGGTTTGGAAATGACATGATTGACTCGCTAAATCAAGGTAGGTAAAGTACTGTTTGATTGTGAAATCGTTTACTTGAACGTTTATTTTGTGTGTGTCTGTCCGTTTGTATAGGGGATAACTAAATATCATTAATTTGCAGGAAGTAATCAATCAGTCATCCTGTTGACACATATATTCTTTTTCTGAACACTTTTAATGAATGAATACGATTATTATTATTTCGTTTATTGTCTGCTAGTGTGTATTTGTTGGTAGTTTACATCTTAGTGTCAAGGCAACTGACTATTTGTAGTATGTCTTTCCCAACTCATGTGAACAATAATGTCTTAAAGTCAAATTGCATAATTTTTTCAATTGCATTTCTGTTCATATTTTATAGAATTAATTTTTTTTATGAAATAGGTATGGAAAAGTGAAAAAACTTTGGGATGGATTTATTAGATGTTGTGCAAAGACTAGACCACAAAGTTATCAAGTTCTATTACAATTACCACCGGATCGTTTGGAAGCTGTATTTCAATGGGAACCAGCTATGCGTGGTCAAGTAAGACGTTATGTAGAAAATTTCTCTTCAGCTCAAGTAAGTAAAACCGACGAATAAAATTGAGTAAAGTATGCTTGAATTATTGGTTCAAAATATCAAAAAGAATTTCATTAGGTGATTTTGTAAAATTAGAATAGTTTACTAATCACAGTACCGATATATACATATTTTTGTAAACTAAATTATTATTGGTATCAATGCCAAGGTTGGACTTGATAGTTTTTATATATATATATATATATATATATATATATATATATATCATACCCCAATGAGTAGAAAATAGTATTTTTGATGTTTCGTGACTTAATTCAAGTCATTTCTTCAGAGTAAATAAATAATGATTATTTATTTACTCTGAAGAAATGACTTGCATTAAGTCACGAAACATCAGAAATACAATTTCTCTAGTCATTGGGATATAACAAGAAATATATTTATCATTAAATTATTATTATAAATCTACCTATTTTCAATATTGTGGAGTGTATATTTTATGCCATATTAACCATAATATATGCTCATCTCAGCATCATTATTTCTAGTTAAAAAATAGCGTATTAGAATATATACTTTAACCTAACTTTTATTTCGTTTTCTTTTTCCAGCGCATTCATATATCTAAAGCTATTGTTGAAGTTTTAGAACATGTTCCCACTCCTCCTCGTTTACCAACGCCTGAAGTTCATCCTAATAAAACTAACAGTGATTTAGAGACACAAGAACAAGGTAAAATTATATTATCGACAAATAATAGTCCTTCTTCATCTGGTCCTGGTACACCGACACGTGATGAAATACCTCACTTTGATGCACCATTTATCGCTGCTGCAATGTTTGCTCAACAGCAACAGCAACAAAATTCTAATATGATGACATCATCCAGAGAATCAACAGTTTCCACTGTAATTGATAATCAATTTCAGATTCATTCATTTACATCTCATTCTGTACAACCAACAGGTTCATTTAATTCTATTTCTAGTCAATCAAATCTTCATTCATCATTACTTCGATCTTCGCCTTCCTCTGTATTACCATCATTATCAGAACCATTAGTTCAGCAAAAAAACTTATCGTCATTTTCTAATATAATTGAAACTAATCCTGATATACCTGATGATAATGATATGGATCCAACTATGGAAGATTTGTTTGAAGCTGATTGTCAGCAACAACAATCACATACAAATTCCTTAGATGAATATGATGTAATGAATCATTCACCTCCACAAATTACTATGGACGTATCACAACAGTTGAGTAAACATTTTAAATCGAAACCATCTTTAGTATTACAAGAGATTGAAAATGATCCATTAGATTTTGAAGAAAATTCAGGTTAGTTTTATTAAGATCAGTCGAATTTCTTCTAGAGTATTGTTATTATTATCCTACACGTCATTAACCTGTTATAATTCGTGATACATTGCTCTATGATACTTCGATGAGATTATAAATTAACAATAAATCTGAAGAGTGAATTCTTGTAATAAAAATTATCAATATCGAAGCATTATGCATTCGGAAACAACGATTATAGAACACAAACAGCCATCGGGCATCGTCCTGTCAGTCTTACGGTTGAGCAAAGTCTTTGACATACTTGCGGATGCTAATTTCCAACCGATCAATTGTAATTTCAATATCTTATGTATTATTCTACTATTCAGACAATAAAATCCGCATAATCATGGCCGGAAACTTTTTATCTAGGAAATAGGTCCACACCATCATCTCTGTCTACTTTCTACAGAGTTGTTTGCAAAACGTCATTTACAGAAAAATCGAAGAGAAATTGTCAGGTCGACCGATTGCAGCTAACTCCACTGCAGGAATGGAACAATGCTGAGAGATTGCGTCATGTCCTTATAGCCTCTTTATATATCACATGACTAAAGCGCCAATACTAAACACCGACTCATGTGGCCTTGACGTTGTGCTAAACTAATGAGAGAAGCCTGGAGTCAACTCTCGGTTCTTATTGGTCCTCTGAGATAGTAGCTTCTCGACTCACCCTGTCGGTTTAGTCCAGAACACCAATATCAGCCTCCGCTATATGAATCATGTATTTCAGACGTACGCAGTTGATATACAAGCAAATCAGACTGAATCGTATCATAAAATCGAAAATAACAATTATACAAGATCAAGCCAAAAGTGGTTGCAAGTATGAGAGACTGTAACTAATAAATTGTGAATAACTTAAGAATAGTAAATCGTATAATAGTAGTCAATGTATCAAATGAAATCCTGTAACAAAAGGAATATGAATATACATATAATATAGTTACTTAATAGCAATACAATAATATGTATGTAGTAAAAATCCATATTTATATCCTATCAGTTACCATTCACTTATTCTTCATCCGGATATAATAGGTGGTTATGTGCTATTAATTAATCGGAATGTTTGTGTTGAGAGTCTTTATTATTATTATTATTATTATTATTATTATTATTATTATTATTATTATTATTAGCTTTATTCAATATTATATTTTTGGCACAATATAGAATTCTCAGCACAAAGTATTTCAGCAAGTTTCCGTTTCTTTCTTCTTGGTCGGTCCTGGCGATAAATATTGAGTGATCGCCAGTTAGATGTTAGCAGTTCAGTAAATGAACATCTGAATAATGTGCATTCTTTTCGCTGTATATTGCCAGCAACCACATTGTCTCTTATTGAGTTTTTTTGTAACTTTGACAACGAAAGGTTGTATACTTTTCAGAAACGCAGCAGAATAGGTTATGCGATTAGTAAACATAATGATATATTAAAACAAACAAAAATAGATAACTTGTTGAAATATCTAGATGGCAGGGACAGGTAGCCCAGATGCTCAAGCAGGCCGCTCTTTAAGGTGTTGATAAACTTCTGATACATTTCTCTTTAATAAACACTCCAAAAGCATTCTGTTGTCTAACAAATTGAATAAGGGACTGATATTAATTATTAAGTTATGGTAGTTTTTCACTGGTTTTTCTAAATTTCAACTCTTTGTGTACATTTTTACCCATCTTAAGAATATAAAACTAAAAAAATTACTAGATGATTTATGGTGATTTTTCAATGACAGAATAAATCGTTTAATGATAACTGTTCAGACTATATCACAGTATGAATCAACGGCTGTTATGTCTGAAAATTTCTTTTTCAGGGATCAGTAGTTTAACTTCATTTGTAATATAGCCATTTCCTAACGGTATTTATTAGCTTTCGTGATGTATTACAGGTGTATAATGAGTATACAAATTGAATTTTCTGTATTTTATTGATCACTGTTTTGTTGTACTCTTCTTAAGGACATTTTTTTCTGACATACTAATATCTTAATAATATAAACAGATAAATTTACTTTAGTTTTTAATTAAATTACTTCATTGAAAGTCAAATTGTTTAATGTTTAAGATAAGTCTTTCTATTATCAGTCAGTCAGCTACAACGTAGGACCAGGTACATTTATGCATCGGTCCCAGTCGCCGTACCTCATTAACACAACAAGACGGATACCGGATTCATAAAAGTAGTTAATTCAGAGGTGGTAATATATAAAAGGAAGATTGCAATAAGGATATAGTACAGGAAGAAAGAATTAATTCGTAGAAAGAAAGATATGAAGCGATTTTAATCTCTTAGTTTAAGGGAAGATAGTGAGTGTATACACCTACGCCATTGTGATCGATTCTGAGCCATGTCACCAAGAGTCTCCAACTATTTGTTACAATAGTACTAATCTGAGTGTCATAATCTTGACGACATGCTGTTAGAGCCTCTGGGTCACATATTTTTAAGCTGCACGAATATTGTAAAATACACTTTTTGTTTTAAATATTTCCAACTCATCAATTATTGTAGTTACATAGTGTATTTACTGACTTTTTGAGGAGTTCATAACTTTCCTAATGGAAAAGTTCAAAAAAATTACACAAGTTTGTATATTTTCTTTTTTTAATTTTTTCGAAAGGTGAGAGCTGTTGACTTTGGAATTGATGCTTTAAATATGTATATTGTTCTGATTAAAAAAATATTGTATTGGGAGAACTGATTGAAAGGTTTCACGGATAAAAATGACTGACAATTAAATGAATTCATTCACTAAATATGATGGCTAATGATGGTACCTGATTACCTAAACTAAAGTAGATTGAGCACGTTGTTCGAACCTGGGACTTAGTGACCGAAAGTGAAACGAATAAAGAAATAACTAACCACTCCACAATAAAAATGATGAATGATAGTCAGTCAGGATTTTAAAAGTTATCTATGTTTAACTTATATTCTGTTCCATACTGACTATTTGCTTTCTGTACTACATTGCTTAACTACCATAGATCCGATTACTGAACGTAGTGCAACTTATTCATCATCATCTTCACAGATCCGTCAGTCTGGCTGTACTGGAAAATCTGATGTCGGCGATGATAATGATGATATTACTGTTCCATATAATGACAACCACATGAACAAAGGCTATTGTTATGATGATGACGATGATGGTGAGCCACCTATACTTCCTGCTTCTCGTATTGACTCTGTAACTAGTTTGAAACGTTGGCATGATACTGAAGTTAGTGAACTTAGATCAACCTCTGAAGACTTGAATAACAAACAATTCAACATACTTGCTGATGAAGGAAGTCATGAAATTTCCAAGTCTTCTTCAGTTACGACGACTTCCAGTAGCCATCGACCGAAACGCCCAGTTAATGTAAACAAATTAGAAGCGGATAGGGTAAATCAATGTGCTTTTATGTTTAATCCATTCATATATGATCTTCGAGTAAACATTTTTCCCACAAGCGATGATCATGATTTGATCTTCATTGAGAAAATCGTATTTTTTAAATTTTCAGTAAACTCAACTTATTCTTACTTCCCTTATAGTTTGTTTCTGTGTATGGATGTGTTTTTGTACATATGAGACATGAAAGGAGTAAACATTAGTACTGAGCTACTTATTCAACCGTCACTAGTGTCCATTATACCCCGTGAAAATAGAAACTGTCTTCACTTCATGTGATGTGTATATCTGTTGTTATGTATTTTATAATTATGGGTTGAGAGAACAAACTTAAAATCACCTTTCACTCATCTGTGACGTACCCTCAGTTACCTTATATGATATGATATGATATGATTATATATAATAAATGTGACATGCCGTTTACTTGCCAGTCCGTTTATGATTTTTGAGGTTCGTAAACCTGTGTGGCTGTTCATTTATTTTCCTGATATCTTCCATAAAAACGTAATGGTCCTGAATCCGTGTTTGTGCACTGTTATGTTCGGAGGTTGTTCGATTCAGATATAGAATTATACGCGAGCGCAAACATTTACGCGAATAACAGGACTAAAAATGAACAAATAGCTGTGATTGGCGACCGGATAATATTGTACACAAATCACTGATATATAAGCTGAGACCTTGACGAAGTGCACGCTTAACCTCGTTCAATAGTGTGTCTTGTTTGTCATCTCTGACCTTGCAACCACTTGTGAACATAAACACTTTATGTCTGGTTTCGTTGACTCTATCATACACTTTGACAAAACAGCTATTCAGTACTGTCGACTTCAAAACAAGTTTCCAGCTTATGCCAGTTTGTGATGAAAGTCACTGTCATATTGTAAAACATAATCATGAAATTGCTTCCCTTACGCTTTCTTGTTAATTTCGTCTTATTGTGTGATAATAGCAAATTAGACTAGCGTATTTGTGTACCACATCTTATGTTGATCATGAGTGAATCATTTTTCTTGCGAGTAACCAACTTTGCAAAGGATTTATTAAAGTTCTAAATGCTGAGTCTTGACTTGTAAATTTTGCTGTCATATGGTAATGAAAACGATATTGGTTTCATTACGTTCTTCATTTGAAATTTATGGGTTCATGGTAAACTTGTAGGAAATTTTATTATAATGTCAGGTTGTTTGTGGTAGTCGGGTGGGAACTTTGAACCTAGGTTTCTTGTTAATTGGAACTTGTCATTGAGGAATATTGCAATTTTTAGTGGACTGACGCTCACTATGGCGTTTGGACCCGTTTCACCTACCTTCACAATCGGAGACGTTACCATCGAACCATTTTGGCCAACACTGACCTATCGTAGAATTGAGATTCTTACATTGATTAGTGATCAACATCATGTTTGTCCTACTCCGTATTTGTCATTGTATTCTGTTCAAGTCCTATTTTATATCCACGTTTCATCAATATACTTCTCTTGATTCGATGATGACTATTCTTTTTAATCACTTCTATTATGTAGAAACGTTTAGAAGAGGAAGCAATTAAATATAGACAGTTAAAAGCTGAGAGAAAACATCATCAACAACAACGAAAAGAGCAATCTTCGAATGATTCAACGGGAATTGAATAAACGCTAAATAAAATTATATCTCTAACTGTTTTGTTTCAGTTTTTGTTGCGTCATGTACAATCTATGCAATACACGTTAGTGTACTAATGTATTAGATTGTATTCATTGTATCCATTTGTGTATGTGTAAAGATTTTACTTTTACAGATGGACAAATTACTTTGTTTGTTTAAACATCATTTCTTAGTTTCTATACAATTTCGGGATCTACATCAATATAAACATATTGTGGTCATTTAGTACCATTAAACTGACTAACACAATGTTTGTCTGTATAAAAAATGTTCTTTTTTTAAATCCTCAGTCTTCGTAATGCGGTGAACCACCGTTTTGTACAGTTTTATAAAGAAAAATTTATCGGTAAAAAAAGCGTTCTGTTGTTCATTACCCAACCGTTTTATATTTTTAATGAATCATCCAAAAGCTATCTCAATAATGTTAATGATCAAACATTTCAGGTTGAAATGTTGGTTGTTTTATTCTCTGTTGATTAGTAATTTTTTAGAAAAGGTAGGATTATTCAAATATTAAGCATTGAAGATTTATTTTTATTCATTCTTTGTGATATTCTATTAATAAAAGCTGCATTTTGACACTATGTTAAAAACAACATCACCATTCTTGATAGAACGGTATTGCGAATAAAAAGAAGCATAATTTTGAATAATGCAAACAGTTAAACCTTGCACTCATCAGCATAGTGATTTCCGTCCATGAAGACCTCCGGCTCTTTTTAGAGATGGTAATGACTTTCTGGTTAAGGAACTGACTACGTTGTTTACAAAGATTTGGGAACTAGAGAGTGTTCCAACATCATAGAATGAGTCCATATTTGTCCCTATCTTTAAAAATGGTCCACGTCGTTCCTGTAGCAGCTATCGGGGGATAAGTCTACTTCCGATTGCGTCCAAGCTATTGGCTTCCGTCATACTTCATAGGTTGTTCAAAACCCGAGATAGATTGACTCGCGAGGAGCAGGCTGGGTTTCGTTCTGGTCGAGGATGTGTTGATCATATCCTCACCCTCGCCAAATGTTAGAACACCGTCATAATTATCAAACGACAACAGTCGTAGTGTTCCTTGACATCAGGGCTGCCTTCGATTCGTTGGACAGGACTGTTCTCTGGGATTGTCTATTGAAGAAGGGTGTGACTGATAAGTTTATTAACATCCTAAAAGCCCTGTATACAAACATCTCATGCAGAGTGAAGACATACAACCACCTTTCTCCATTGTCCCATTCAAGCAGTGGGGTTAGACATGGTTGCCCAATCTCACCATTCCTCTTCAACTTTGCCATCGATGACATTCTGGAAACAGCTCTGATGAATGTAAGTAATGGTGGTGTGGATCTGTTGCCTGGAGAAAGACTTCTCGACCTTGAGTATGCGGATGATTTTGTCTTACTGTGCGATAATGCTCAAGCCATGCGATCCACACTTAATCAGTTGGCAATCAATGTCCGTAGGTATGGTATGTGCTTTGCACTTTCCAAGTGCAAAGTACTTCTACAAGACTGACAGGATCCTAATCGTGTACTCACTCTGGATCGTGAGCAGATAGAAGTAGTCGAGATGTTCGTGTATCTGGGTAGCTGTATAAGTGCTGGTGGTGGCGTGAGTGATGGGATCAATGCACGTATAGTGAAAGCCAGAGCGGCTTATGCCAATCTGGGCTACCTTTGGCGCCTTCGTGATGTTAGTCTGGCTGTTAGAAGTCAGATCTACAACGCGTCGGTGAGAGCGCTTTCATAAAAAGTGGTTGTTTCTTCCTTAATTTGAAGAATTCTTTCTGGTTGCACCTTTCCGTTTCCCCCACTAATATTATTACACTATCATACACTATTCTGTGGTCGTTATTGTTCTCTCTCTTTTTTTCTTATACGCACTTTACATTCTTTTTCTCTTCCCATTCTCACTGTTTTGGTGTGGCGCACATATATCTGGTGCCCTCTTGTACCAATGTTTATGTGTTCAAATAAATAAAAAGTCATTGATTATGTTAGGTGGTTCAAATGAACAGTGTAAAATGTGCATTCGTTTTTATTAAAAGTCAACAGATTCCAAATTTAAACCACCATTTATCAAGAATTTATCGACAGCACTTCATGTTTTGTTTTTTATTTACTGTATGATTTCAGCCTCTTGATGAGTGAATCGAGATATAAATTTATACATTTTTTATGTAGGGTTTTTGTAGGTATTTCAGAGCAATATAATGAACTACATAATTGTGACTAAATACTAACCTATTTGTTTACATTACTCTTAAAGATGTAATGATATGAAGTTAAGAATTGTTATCTATCAAACATACATTAAACAGTAATTGGAATCACCTTCGCATTTTATGATAATTATGTAGAATCTATATATTTATAACATCGTTAAAATCACTTTGCTAACCAAAAGAATAAAATTTTGTAAAAGAGGTTAGTGTATGTCTTGAACAGAGAGCACGTAGAATATGTGATTGAGTCCGTTTAACTTTGTTATATAAGTTAGGGACTAATTAAACAACCACTAAAGACTGATATAACGAGCTGTTTAAAATATTTTTTCTCGCACGAGTATACTACGATAATAAGATCAGTTGCGTTATATCAGATCTAGGATTCACGATCCAAAATAATGAACCTTATTAACACTAGATAATGCTTTATTCAACACGATTACAAGCAGTCACATTTGGTTAGTCCGACGTGGAAATCAAGGAGGAAAAGGAATCATTTAATAGTCAGTAGGCTAAGTGCCTGTTTGTCCACACTCAGTGACCAATCATTTTTTACTCTAACTACCACACATCAAAAACCAAAATACACTAGATCAATGTTTCGACCCAGTATGGGACTTAACATCAGTGTTGACCAACTGCTCAGCCAGATATTGAGTCCATGACCTTCAGGTCTCATGGCTAGTGGCTAAACATCAGATGTCGATTCTCAGGTCTAAGGGTTGTGCGAACTTTGCGATTGGATAATCTTTGAGGACTCCCGTCAGTAGCATTTTAGTTTGTTTACATTTTCATCCTACCTACCATTTACCAAGAAGGTGAAAACAATACTATAAAATGAAATTGTAACACAGTGAAGCTTATCTTGTTCTACACAAAATGACGACTTTTGATTTGTTGTAAGATTATTTTCATATCTCAGAGTAATACGTTAGGGAATAAAATGTTAGTGTTAGAAGCTATAGATACTCAGTTCAAGTCTCAGTTTGAACCCCGACAGTGAAATACTAGTACGTCCAACTAACAAGCCCTACATGGTAGAAAATATGTACTCGTAATTTCACTGCTAATCACAGTTCAAATATACTAATAACTAGACATAACTGATTGAGAAGAAAAATTGAAACTAAACAAACCCCTCAGTTGATGCTATTGTTGATTTTCGTCGCTGTAAACATCTTACACAGTTATTTTTGAAAATCTCGTCGCGTATTATTGAAAGAATAATTACAAATTGAGTTAAAGTTTTATGTTGTGTAATATTTAACTATTGAGCATCCACCTATACTAGATTAGAACAATGTAAGAGCTATATTGGATATTACATTTGTTTGTAGTTGCATCGTTTATATTAGGTTAAACTGCTTGTCAATAATGTTCAAGTCGAAGATAATTTACGCAACACTTATTCCAACTTAAAAACTAGGGAGCATGTATTTTATCCTAGTCCTAATTTTTCCAGTAGTATCCATGTAGTCTCATCAAGTCAAAAGGCAAGGATCTGTATGTCACATCGTTTCATAATATTGTGGTACCACTGTTCAGTGTCATCGATGACATCTGTTCTAACGGGTTGAACCTCAGTTACCATCTCTTTTCACTAAAAACCTACCTTCAGATTGTTAATTCAAATTTATTGTGCTATCTTTCTACACGACGTAAATTGGATACAAATGTGCATAGATGAATTCTCTATTTACCTGTTTTCATTTAGGTAGTTAAATTATAGATGATTGTCAAACAACGAACAAGACATTCTTGTAATTCAGAAATATGGACTTTTATTCACAATATTTGAGCATTAATATCAAAGTAGTTTTTATTGAAATATATGTACTAGTGTTAATGAAAATAGTGACTTGTAACAGAGATTTCAGTGACTATTTTTGTTTAGTTTTTATCAACTAATCATGACTTGATTAAAGAAGGCAATGAAATTTGACCAGGATTTCTTTCTCAACTGATCCGACCATCTTTTACCGCTTTGTGAATTCCTCAGTTCTTCATGTTTAAAAATCTAATCAATGAGATCTGTTGACAACATAGAAAGAAAAACGAAAGTACTGAGACAAAGGAAAGAGAAATAAAATTACGAATATTAAGTTCGAAAGTTATGTGCACGTCGCTGATTTACTTTACCATTTAAATGGATCATATCATCAAAGATTAACAGATTTCCAATCAATGAGGATGTTTATAAAACTGAATATTACACACCAAGTTCTTAATTCAATTCTGTTATTAATTAATGAAATACAGAATGCTTATAAGAGATAATTCAATCAAATAGTCTTCCAGTATCACTAAGATTTAAATTCATCAACTTGTAAATGTTTTCTTGTTAACAAGTATTCTTGATTGGGTTGAAAGTTCTCAGATCTAATGTTATTACTTGTGGCCTGTGTGCCCTGCTAATATATAGCGTAACGATAGCGCCAATTAGAGAGTAGTGACTTATCGATCGGACCAGTGATGCATAAACTCATACGAGCAGTCTATAGTCCTGATTGGTTCTGCTTTCCGCCTAGCCCAACCAGCTAAGTCCAGAACACCAACCTCAGCCTCTGAAATATGAATCATTTATTTCAAACATACTAGGTTTATACACCAACCAAACAGACCACATCGTATCATAAAAAAGGAAACAATAATTGCACAAGATTTAGCCAAAAGTGGCTGTGAGTGTGGGAGATAGTAATTAATAGATAGGCATAATTCAAGAATGATAAATCGTATAATAATAGTTCATAGGTCAAAATAAAGCTCATA